GAATATATTAGCTTCTGCCTCCCTCTCTGTGTAAATGCAGACCCTGTTAGGCAACTGTTATTCCTTAACGTTTATAGGTTTCTTAGTTATTCCTTGCTTTTTAGGTAAAGTGTATATTAGTTATTTAAGGCTATTATCTGCTTTTATTTTCTGCAATTCCTTATTAGTTATTACTAGGATAGCTTAGAGTATTTTGTCCTCCTTTTATTCTATATCCTTATTATCTGCTATACACTCTTATAGTGCATATGCCTGCTCTTATATAATACTAGCATATGCTTCTGCATTATAGTTAGATAGGTATCTGACTTTCTCTTTTTAATAAAATGTTATTAGTTTATCTAACGCATTAACTGCTAGCACCTAACTTTAGTCTAGCCTTACCCCTAGGGTATTAAGTGTATAGATATAGTCTACTAACAGTAGCTTAAGGGCTTAGAAATAATACATTCTTAACATATTATAAGGGTTATTTCTCTCTAATTTACTGTAATAGACAGGGATTTATGCTAAGGTTCTAGGTTAGACTATAGTAGTTTAACTAACCACCACCTGCCTATTTATACGCTTCCTTTTTTATTAGCTGTAAATTAAGACCCTAGCGTTATATGCAGATTTAATAACTAAACAGTCTTTAGTAATTAACAGGTTAATTCTATATTTATGCAGAAAGTCTAAGCTAAAAAGCATGTTTAGGTATAGGTTCTTCTTTACCTATGCGTCTGCCTAAAAGTGTATTATTATATCTATTCCCTAGCGTTTAGCTTTAATATAAAAGTTAAATCTTGCCCTCTTTATTATTATTATAACTCTATCTGCATATGTTATAACATATAGCTTATTTACCTCTATCTATACTATATTAGTTAAGTATTTATTTAACTAATCTTTATTTACTATAGTGTTAGAATAACTAGTATTAATAGCTCCTGTAGTAATTAATACATCTAGATTAAATTAAAGATCTATCTTAGCATAAGTATATGTAATAAAACTGTCCTTATTAACATGCAGTTAGGCCTTAATCACCTAGCCTATCTTAAATTGCAGATTTAGCACTGTTTATTTATTCTAGTGCCTGCAGGCGTTTAAATAGACATGCTGCATTAGCCTTAATCGGCTATTAAACTTTTAAGAATATTTATAATAGGCATGTTAGTCTTTTAGTGCAGACTGCTCTTAGTTAACTATCTATCTCTTACTAGTCTTAAATAAGAGCATATATTTTACGCCTTTTATTAGTTTCTTAAGTATTATTATTAGGGAAGTTATATAGTAAAAACCAGTGGCATTGTCTATATACTTCTTGTCCTAGTTAGACTCTTTATATTTATTAGTTAAGTAATATCCCTGCTTTTTAAGATTAGTTTTAACTGTCTTAGCACCTAGGTTATTAACAGCCACTAATACCTTATCTAATTAGCTAGTAAAGGCTCTCTGTAAATACTTTATCTAATAGCAAAATTAACGCTAATTGCTATTCTAATATCTATTCTAATATTTGCTATTATGCTAAATTCTCTTATAACGCATGTCCTTATATATATATCCTTAGCTACCCCCCTGCCAGAAGTATTTTCTATCCTTTCTATTCTTCTCTACATCCTAATCCTGCTAGTTACCGCCTCTTTAATTACTGCTATAGTAGGCGCTGCCCTTAGTCTGCTTACTCTTATTATCATTTATATTTTAGTTTATAAACATATTAGAGGGGAGTGCCTGTTAGTTATCTAAGGGCAGCAGCATTAAGGCCTATAGGGGTCTGTTTATCTTTCCCTTATTAAGAGCAGCCTGTCAGGCTTATTACTTATCCCTTAAGTGCTTAAGGTACTTACTTTTTATTATAGTTAGGTATAGCTTAACCACTAACTTATGCAATCTAGGACTAATATAGAGATAGAGTTAGCTAAGCTATTATACTAGGGTAATAAAGCCAGCTGCTTTAGCTATTTAGAAGAATTTTATAGCCTAGGCTTATATATCTACGCTAGTAGCGTAATTGCTATTAGTATATGCAGATCTAGCTAATAGGTTAACAGCCTTAACTTAATTAAGACAGAAATAATAAAGCAATGCCTAAGTCTATAAATTGATAGACTGTTTAATTAGGTCTTTTTCCTATAGTAATAAGACAGCGCCTTACTAGTGCAGGGCAGGTCCTCTTAATAGTTATAGGAGGTTAGCATAGATATATCAGACTTATTCCTTATTTATTATATTATCTTAGATACTTTTAATAAATTGCTTAATATCATTCTACACTATAGCATTACTACTAACGGCATTATCCTCTGCATTAGGATTAAAGTAGCTAATATAGGCGATCTTTTAATAGTCTTTAATACTGCCTGCAGCGTTATTAGGCTAAAGGGATTAGGTTTAGGCTTATAGTAAGCGACTGAAAAGGTAATTAAATTAGATATTAAAAAGTATAATTAAGGGAACTGCTGCACTGCCTATATCACCCTGCAAACTGCCTGCGCTAGTCTAGCCTTAGCCTTAGCCTTAGCCTTAGCCTTAGCTAGATAAAGCCTAACTAGCTATTAGTATTAAAGCGTAAGTTAATAACTAAATAGACTAAATAGGGGATGTATTTAATTAGATAAGGGAAGACTTTAGGCTTAGAGTTTAAGGGTATTAGCCTATAATTAGTACTAGTAACAGCAACAGTATATATACCCTGTCTGCAAAAAGACCTAATCCTGCAATATCTATATATAGGTTAGTCTAAACTAGAGTTTAGCCTAAAGGAGGATAAATAGTAAGATTAACTTATATTTTAACTAACCTATAAACATAAGATAATTAAGTTTAGGGTAAAGGAGGGGGAGGGGGATAGTTAGTATAGTAAATATTATTAGCAGTGCGCTTTATGCTTACTGCTAGATATTATCTGCAGAGCAGGGTAGCTGTTTTATTAAGCGCAGGTAATATTAATATTACGCTTAGCGCAGTAATTTATTAAAATAACAGGGCAGCAGTTGCTACTTATAATGCATAAACAGGCAGCAGATGCGTTAATAATAATAGGACAGGCAATAGACATATTAAAGTTATTAATAATAGTTAAATAAATAAAAGGTTAAACCGTATATGCTAGGAGGGTATAGGAGTCTAAATGCATAGGTTGCTTATGCCTGATTAGACTATAGTAAGCTAATTCTTAAACCCTTAGTCTATTAAACTTTCTAGCATAGCTTGTTATTGCTAGTGTAGTAATGCCTTATTAAATTATTATTATAAACCTCGTCTATTAACCTAGTTAAGCAGGAATGTTATTTTATCACTATTATTTATAAGAGTAGCTAACTTAGTAATAAAAGTAATTAAGACTATATCCTTATCTATCAGTACTGCTGCATAATAATGTCCTAAATGTAAGAATAAAGCTATTTGCTTAGTAATTTGCAGAAGCTGGTTAGAGACTATGCTAAGGAAACTAATAATATAGGGAATAAATAAACAGTAAAGATTAACAGGATCCTTTATCTTAATATGCATCTGCATAGCAGACTTAAGGCCAGGGTTTTTATTAAAATAGTAATAGGTTGCAGGACTGTCTAGTGCAATTACTACCAGTTATTAGGTATGTTTAAGAAGAGAAAGCTAATCTGTATTTAGTATAAGCTGTTTAGGCTTATATAGGTATAGCTAACTAAGCAGCCTACCTGTCTCTCTAACTAACTGACTAACTGCCTAACTAACTGCCTGCCCCTTGGCTAACGCACTACAGACTAGCCTAAGTAGGCATAGTAGGGGTCTGTGCGTAAGGGCCCACAGAAATTTCACTTAACTTTAAAAATTTATAAAAAATTCTAAAAAAATATATTTAAAAAACTAATTTAATTTTTAGCTTCTTTATATAGTTAAATTATATATATTTTATTATATTTTTCTTTTTTAGCTTATATTTAGCTATAAAAACTATAGTTTTCTTAAAATAGCATTTCTTTACTAGATAGTAGTTATATAAGCATGCACTTTCTAGAATATGGAAATTTAAGTAAGAAGCTATATAGCTATATAAAAAGTTACCTAATTTATAGATATTACAGTATATAAAATCTAGCTTTAAAATAGTCTAAGTTTTTACTTAGGATTTAAGCTATTAAATAAATATAAAAAAATATATAAAAAATATTACTAAGTTTTATAGCTTATAATTAAGCTAATAGTATTTTTATATATATTTTTTTATCTTTTCTTAGTATAGATATAGCAGTTTAAAAACATAGTACCTAGAGGAAAATTCCAAGGTACTTCCACCAGTGCCCGGATAGCAATCCATCAGTGCCCGGATAGCAATACTCATTTTATTAAATTTCTTAGAGTATTGCTGCGGGGGCTGTATAAAAATGCTAGGGGGGCTGTAACTAGCCTAAAGTGGCTTAGTGAGGGTCTATGCACAAGGACCCACAGAAACCTCTTTTAACTTTAAAAATCTATAATTAATTTTAGAAAAATACTATAAAAAAGAAAAAGTGTTTTTTAAAAAGGTTATTAAATAGAATTATATATTTTATTAAAATATTTAATTTTTACCTAGTTAAGGCTTAGAAAATCTAGCCTAAAGTTAAAAGCTAGTTTCTCACTTAGTATATAGTTATATAAGCATGCATTTAGTATATATTAATAGTTTATAAAATGCTTTATAAGAATATATAAAAAGTTACTTTAAAATATATAAGGAATATATAAAGAACTAAACCTAAACTTAGCCTAGGTTTTTAATACTATTATATAGCTTATAAAAATAAATAAAAATATTTTTAAAAATTATATAGTATTTTAAGCTAATAAATAACTTATAGATATTTTTTTTATATTTTTATTAGTTTTATTATGTATAGAAAACGTCTTATAAAACTATAGTATATAAGAGAAAGAAGTAAGGTACTTAGACTACAGCCCCCCTAGCAATTTTATACAGCCCCCGCAGCAATACTCATTTCTTAAAGCTTTCTAAAACCAGACTTAGATAGTAAAACAGTAAGCCTCTGCTAGTCTACTATAATTCTAGGCTCAATCTCGCCATAGATCCTAAAAAACTCTGCAAAGAGCTTAATAGCATTACCGACATCTCCCGTTCCTCCACACTCGCGAATCGAATGCATAGAAAGCTGCGGATTTCCCACATCAATCGTTCTCATTCCCAGCCTAGCCGCCAAGCCCGGTCCTATAGTTGATCCGCACAAACTATCGTTGCGAACTGTGAACTGCTGAAGGGGAGCGCCGGCCTTCCGGGCGCATTCTTGTAGCAGGACAATGCCGGGAGAGTTGGTGGCATAGCGTTGGTTTGCGTTGACCTTGATGACCGTTCCGCCGTTGATGGCCGGTTGATGGTTGGGCTCGTATTTTCCAATGTAGTTGGGATGGACAGCATGAGCCATGTCCGCAGAGATGAGGAAGGAGCGCGACAGCGTCTGCTCAAAGGCCGTGGCATTGTCGGCCTCGTGGTGGACGTGCTCGTAGCTCCCGTCACTGGCGGCGTCGGTCGACAAAGAGAGAGAAGAGAGGCGGCGAACGACTGATGGGAGAAGGTTTGAGTGAGCACCCTGAGCCGACTGCGAGCCGATTTCCTCGTGGTCGAAGCAGACGGTCATGCGGATGGTCGAGTCATCGTCGAGGGCGTCAGAGGCGCTGACGGAGGAGATGAGGCCCTCCACGGAGCAGTACGTCATGCCCAGGTTGTCTAGGCGCGGCGAGAAGATGAACTCATCGTTGATGCCGCCGATGACGGACTTTTGCGTGTCGTACAGGACCAGCTCGAAGTCGACGATGGAGGCGACGTCGACACCGGCCTCATTGGCAACCACGTCGAGGACGGCTGGGTGGTGGCGCACCGTCATTTCTTTGAGGGGCTTGAAATCCTCGTCTTTGCCGTCGTGCGTGGTCTCATCCTGGGTCTCTTCGGCGGGTTTGCTCTTGTTCAGCTCGGCGGCGGCGAGGCCCGCAATGGGGAGTGTTTCAATCTCGGTATTGGGATCAAAGTTGGATTGGCGGTGCAGGTGGATGGCGAGCGTCGGGATGCGCAGGATGGGCTTCTCAACCTTGACCAACTTCTGGACGATGTTGTCACCCTCACGCACTAGCAGGCGACCAGCGAGACTCAAGTCGCGGTCGAACCAAGAGTGCCAGATACCTCCGCCATACACTGACGTTGGGTTAGTAAAGGAAGAAAGGAAGAAAAGGGATTTTGGGGGCGGTAATACTCTCGACGCCGACTTGCAGGTATCCGACATTGGTCTTCTTGGACACGGGCTTGACCCTCAAGCAGGGCGAGTCCGTGTGGGCACCGACAATGGCGACGGGGTTGCCAGGGCGCCACTTGCGGCCGATGGCAAAGGCGACGATGGACGAGCCGTTGCGGGTGAGGTAGTATTTGCCGCCGGGCCGGAGGGTTGATGCCCAAGAGTCGCGCTCCTTGATCAGGGTGAAACCGGCCTTTTCGAAGAGGCTCGCGGCGGATTTGACGGCGTGGTAGGCTGGGAAAGAATGACATGTTAGTATTGTAGACGGCAAAGCTGAACAGATTCTTGGGGCCGAGATCTTGGAAGCATTGGGTGGAGATGCAGCGTACGGGTGGGAGAAGCATTGACAAAGTCGACAAAGTCGAGGGCAGCTTGCGGGGGCGCCATGACGAGGGCGGTGGTTGAAAACGGCGATGATGCGGTGCGGATTCTCAGTCTGCTGGATGATGCCAAAGACTGGATTGCGGTCCTTGACTGTCTCGCTGCTCGATGGGGGATCATGCAGGAAGTGGTATGAAAGAAGAGGAAGAGAAGGGAAGAAAGATTGAGAGTGCGGAGAAGCTGCTCTGTTCTGTTCTGGTTGAGTAATGGAGGGGTCTGGAGGGGCTGGAGCAGCAAATTGGAAGGTGCGTCTCGACGTCAAAAGTTCCAATTCCGGGGTTCGGCACATGAAGCGAAAAGGTGGGGCCGATGGGACGGGGTTGACGATGCTGATGTTGATGAAGTACAGTAGCACAACAAATGAAAGGGAGATTCAAGAGGGAAGAATTAGACAAGAAATCTATGTATATAGCTCTGTATAATAAAAAGAAAAGGAAAAAAAAAAAGCGGATATATAAAAGACAAATCAGTGCCCCCTTTCCAGCATGCCCGTCTATCGAAATCCCATAACCATAACAAGAAACACCGTGGATATTCCATCTACATGTAGTCATTGACCAATTCCAACTCCGTCGTCACCACTCCAACCAGCTAAACGCGCCGCTCAAGAGGATTAATTTCCAGATAGTCGCTCTCCGTCTCCAGCTTCCGTCCCTCCACGGCTTCTCGCTTCAGTCCCAGACCCGGCTGCCCAAAACAAAGCGCAACGGCCGCCAGAAAGACAAAAACACCCTCCAGCACAATAAACGTAGCCTGGTCCTTGATCAGGCTTCCATCGTACCCGTCCTTGAGCTCAGCCACGCGGTAAGCACAGCGGGCCAAGATGAGCAGCGTCGCCGTCGTCAAGCCGGAGAAGAAGGCAGTGAGGCGCCACCCCCAGTTGGAGGCGCGGCCGGAGCGAATGTAGCGGAACATGTAGTCTCCAAAAGCGACGATGAAGGCGACCAGGACGATGACTTGGAGGCTGAGGCCTGCCTGGGAGATGTCGACGCCGGCTTGGTCGGAGCCGGTGTCGTTGGCGGACATTGCGCCTCCTGCGGCCTGGAGGACGAGGCAGACGATGTCGAAGGGGATGAAGATCCAGTAGAACAGCTGGGGCTTGAAGCGGGAGAGGTTCGGGTCGAGGAACATGATGGACTGCGATAGCGTCACGTAGATGGAGGCCGTGTAGAAGACGGGAGCAATCGTAAGAGTGACTGGATGAAACGAATGCCCGTTAGCCTTGAGAAGGGGTACAGCGAGGATAGAATGAGTATCGTGTCTTACCAATCTGGATGATGAAGCCGTTAAAAGAGAACGGATTGTCCCACATTATAATCCTGCCGACGTATCCAATGATCTCGGTAATGCAGCCGATGATGACTGGGATAGTGAAGCCCCAAGTCCTCCACCGTACGCCGAGATACATGTGGACGATGCCGGCGATGCCAAACAGGACGGCAAAGGTGACGTTTGCGGCGAGAGAGGGACGGTATCCGAGGATGCTCCATTCCACAGGGCAGTTGTGGAGGTTGCACGTGGTATCGGAACCAAAAGTGATGGTGCCAGGGGGCGGGTCTTGAGACATGGCGATGGTGTTGGCTGTTGGTTCCTGGCTTGTGTTTGTGTACAGGAAGGATGGGAGAGGTGGTTGGCTTGGCTGTTTTGCTGCTCGTGAACCCGAGATTATATATGTCGACAAAGAATCCTTGTGCCAAATCGTTCGTCTTGTCCTGGTCTCTCAACTTGTCAACTCCCAGGGGGGCGAGGCTCTCTTTATCATAATTCGAACAAAGCCCAAACATCTCAACCATATCCATGCCCAGTGGATAGCCCTTTATCGCTCCCCCAGCCGCACTCGCTCTCGTTCCAGCACACGGCCGAACAACTGCCAAAGATGAACAGCCGCAGCCTATGCAACGTCATCCCTGAGAGCCAGACAAGCTTAATTCAAAAGCTAGAGCTGGAAAGACAACAAAAAGCGCCTGGGCATCCATGCTCAAGTGGCGCCGCTAGTCCTCGGCATCTTGTCGTTTTCTTTAGGAGAACACCTTGACACGCATGCCGTAGCGACCGGCTTCGTCTGTTTCGTGGCTTAGCTTTGGCCTGCTTGGGACTAAGCAGATAGCAGGTACGTGGATACGGGGACTTCCCAGCAGTAGCAATAGCGATTATGGAGATGCCATGTGCTATGCCTAGCATGAAGCAAGGGGGACGAAGGATTCGAGACGGCTTCGAAAACGTGGTGCTCGGTCTCGCCATAGGAGGACCTCGATGGGGCTATGGCCCGGTGGCTGAACTTGCACTTCTTCCCTCCTTCCATCGAGCCTCTTCAGCCTGGTGAATCATCAGCCATCTTGCTATTTAGCAAGAAAGTTTTGTCACTTGTGTAGAGAACAGACTCATCGCTTCTCAACAATTGCAAAGGCGCGCTTTTCATCTTCTCGTCTCAAACTCAAAGAATTGAAGTCAAAGGAAGAAAAGTGACAGGGCATAAAGAGGATCCGACAGTGACGCGGTCGCTTCCGTCAGCAACAGCCAAAGCGGAGCCCGTCAGCACGAAGCCTCGCGGCATTGCGTTTCGTCTCGTGCTGTTCGGGTACCGGATACATGCGTGAGCCTGAAGGAGGATGTTTAGCGAGTGCGAAGGAATACTATAAGTCAGCGCGATGAAATAAAGCCTCGATCCTTTCGAGATGCATTGTCCAGCCTCACTTTCCTGGTGACGCCGATAGGCTGGATGGGAAGGCCGGTGGGGACGGGATTGACGTGGACAGACACTGAGCCACTGCAGTTTTCACTTTGCGGCGCACGACTAGAGGGAGCGTATGTCTTGTTTGATAAGATGGAAGTGCCTTGGCGAGCAGTCGTATTGTCGTATTACGATTATCATCTCTGGTCTTTTTGGAGTCTTGGAGATGTTTGCTGACCAAGCAAGCTGAACAGCCGACTGTAAGATCGACAAGGTGAAGGGCTGATGGACTCTTCCGGTTTCCTGCAGAGAGCGTGATTCGGTGACTGCCCGAAAGACTTTCATCCTGAACATGAAGGAATAATAAGCAACAGCATGCATGAGATTCAGGCGACTGTGGAGCACAACAACATGCAACTCGAATGGAGGACCAAAAACGTCCAAGACAGATCAGAAGCGAGCGAATTCATGTACGTAGCAGCCCAGTTTAGCTATCAAGCATTTTCAACGTATAGCAATTGGAGGAGAACATAGCAATCATAGCAGTAATAGAGATAGAGCAGTGGTGTCACCAAGATATCGAACGGCTACCTAAGTTGAGGTGCTCGATACCCGCTCAAATACAATATTGCCGGCGTATCAAGGGAAAGGCAAACAGTCGGTTTCCTGCCGTACAATTTTGGACGAGTAGCGCGGACGTTTTGGCTATAGTTGTACTCGGACGAGGACGAGGAGAAGACTGCCTCATGTGCGATTGAAGGAATGATGCTAAATCTTCCAGAGTTTGTCTAAATTTAGATTGAAAGTAAGGACTGGGTGTCAGAGGTCGTGTAAGAGGTCCTCGAGTGTGCTCTGTTAGTAAGTTTCGTCGGTTCATAGGACTTGGTACTCGACCTTAGATGAGGGGAGAGTTTGGCTCTTGCTATCTGCTCCAGGAAGTCGCCATGACTTATTCAATCAAAGCTCTCGCCATTCCTCATACTGCCCTTACAAAATTCACTCAACCAATGACTGGCGTTCTTTGCCTAGGTACGCAATCTTGGCCAAAGGATCAATACAAAGACCGATAGCCCTCCCATCTCCGCATTCTCGCCACAAAAGAGTTCGCCGGCACATCTACCCGCGAAAGACCACACAGGTCATCTAAACGGTATACCAGCTTCCTTCATCCACCAAATAGCTAATACTGTTGTCTGGTCCTTCTTCTCACCCTTAGACGAGAGGAGTGGCTGGCTACTCAGCACCATGAACCAGCTGTTGCAAGAACCCTTATTGAAGAGAATAGATCGAATGTATAACCAGAATTTTGAAGCAAGCAATACTGGGTATGTAGCAATAGCAGCCCAGAATAGCATCTGTTTCCCCTTTTCAGCAAGCACTACATATTTTACCTTATATAAAGAAGGGAGCTACAGCTTATATACCAGGGGCATCTAAACACATGCCCGCTCCACACTACCATCCTTTCAATCCTATCCCAGCCCATCATTAACATCAACCACATCCTCACTCCTCGTTCACAGCCCTCATGACCGCTCAACTGTCCTAGAAACCAAAACCCCAAGCATCCCATCAGCCGGAGCCGGTGCTATTGTCGACGAGGTCCCCCCGCTCGAACAGGCAAGACCGCCGAAGAGGGCTAATACGCACTTCTCATACTTCCGTAGGGATTATATGGTGTGTGTGGATGAGCGCGTGCCCACCAAAAGACACAGCCTTACCCGCAAGAGGAAACCACTGGCGCTTCGGGAAATGAGAAATAATCAACGTCGATAGTGGATTCGTAAAAAGCCTGCCTGCTGAAGACCCTCGATTTTGATACAACACTTGAGCTAATAAGAGAACGCATTTCAGGGTCATTTCAGGGTCGAAGACAAAACTCCTCACACCATTGAAGACAGCAATAGTATCACCAAGCACATACAGCACGCAATATGAAGGATGTGTAAAAGAGTAAATTTGAGAAGGCTGAAAAGCACAAAAGTCGTTATAAAAGTGATATCTCAGTTCGTGACCAAAAAATGCTTCGTTCAAAAAGACATCCAGGACTAAGACCCGCAGTCGGCTGTCTGACGAGATCCGTCCCCGCGAACGCCCGTACAATTAGAATATTAAGTACACACTCCCGAAAACGTTGAGGGTATCCCGATGGTTGCCGTAAAGCTCTAGTTATTATTTGCAAAATAAAGATCTAGATCAAACTTCTGTACATGTCTAAACCAGATCTCAGGAGGCTTCCGCCCTGTCGTGAGTGTGTGCGTTTGCCATGTCCCGCAGGCCTTTAATTCAAGAGAAGAAAAGGAGACGTTTAAGCGAGGATCAGGGCAGCGACACCGGCGACGGCGGCGAAGACGGCAGAGCCAGCGAAAGAGGCAGCGCCGCTGACGGGAGGGGGAACACCGGTGCTGGATGAATAGTTAGCATGTCTGCTTGATTTGGGTCATGTTTGTATAAGATCAAATACTCACGTTCCGTTACCGGCAGGGCCGGAGGGCTGGGGAGGAACGGCACCGGTGCCAGAGGGAGCGGGGGCACCGGGGGCACCACCAGCAGGGCCGGTAGCGCAAGGGACGGCGACAGTCTGGTACTCAACCGAGGTGAGGACGGTGGTGTAGCTCTTGGTCACGGCAACGACGGAGCTGCCGGGGCAGACGGGGGCAGCAGAGCTGACGGGGGCGAGGCCGGTAGGGGCAGCAAAGCCGCTGGTCACGGGGGTGACGGGAGCGCCAGGAGCAGTGTAGACGGGAGCAGAAGACACGGCGGGGATGCTGTAGACGGGGACGGAGACGGGAGCAGAGCTCTCACCGCCAGCAGGGCCGGTGGGGTAGACGCCGGTGCTGTTGGTCCAGGCCTGGGTGGTAGGCACGGGGACAGCGGTCTGGGTGGCCTCGACCGGGCAGATGGTGGTGGAGACGGCAACCGTCTCGGTGGACAGGACGGTGCTGTGAGCCGGGCAGTTGGTCACCTCAGGGCCGCACGAGACGACGGTGTGGACGGAGGTGGCGAAGACGGTGGAGGTCGTCAGGGGGATGGTGTTGGTGGCCACGGAGGTGGTCTGCTGGCGGGCCGGGCAGTTGGTGACGGTCTCAGGGCAGGCCGTGATGGTGACCAACTCGGTGGTGTAGTCGGTGGAGATGGGCTCCTGGGCGAGGACCGAGGTGGCCAGGACAGCAGCGGCGACGGTGAAACGCATCTTGATTGTCTTGTTTTGGTTTTTTGTAAAAGGTTCTTGAAGAACGAAGTATAGATTGGTCAAAGAAAGAGTGGATGAAAGCGTAAAGCTTCGTTTGTTTGGTTGTTTGAAAGAATGGACGACCGAAGTCAAGAGCGAGCTGGCGATTGTGCTTGTTGGGCTGAGGAGGAAAAGAAGGAGAAAGAAGAGAAAGCTCTCCGAGTCGAGCGTGGCCGCATATTAATACTGCTGTTACTACCGCCTCCACCACCTCTGGATGGTGGGCGCATATCGACCTTGACGGCTTGCCCTCACGTCCAACGTCGACCTCGCACCCGTTCATCCATCCATTGGCCCCATTGGATCCGTTGGATACCCCGGGAAATTGCGTCCCAGAGCGGACGTCAATCTAGGGGGTTCACAAGTGGGTGTCGAGGTGGAGATGCTTGTCGCGCCAGTTTCATCCGCCAATTCGCAAAGAGGCAAGATGGAGGGCCCACGAACCATGCCGGGCTCAAGGCCAGCCAACCCCAGTCTCCGACTCCTGCAGGTACAACATCGCTCCGTACCGTGTGGCAAACGGCCCTGATTGAACGCACGAATGAGCGATGGCCTCACCATGTTGCATGCTTGCAGCGGCAACACACCACCTCGCTATTGGCCACAATCCCTGCTGTCTCTCTTGGCCTCTTTGTGCGAGTCTGCCGTACGAGGCAATTGAGCT